ACACACACACACACACACACACACACATATGTCTGACAGACGTACACACACATTTAAAAAATCCTTATTTAAGTTAATATTGCAAAACACTAAAGTGTTCAGTTTTAATGTCCGTGTTGGCCCTCATTATGGAGATAGATCTAGTCAAATTAGTCTTTTTTCATCAACAACAATTAGGGCCTACAGTAACACCTATCTACGACCGCCGACAATTCTTGAACAGAAAAGTGATTGTCTTAGACAGTTGGTGGTGGTGCACAGGGTTATTAAAAGTTTAACCCCCCCAACCCCCCCCCCAAAAAAAAAACCAACAAAAAAACAACCCAGCTAACAAATGAAAGTGGCCGTTTGTATAGGTGATTGCCTTATATAGATGACCGTCAGAGCAAGTTGGACAGCAACTTGTATGTTTATAACATCTGGACACACTTTTCAACAAAACTTGCTCATCTTCACACATATAGACGGGTTTGGCACTGAGGCGGTGACTGTCTCTACGTTACTACGTTCAAAAGCACGCCTGCACGAGCAAAGCGCCAATAAACCTCCGAAACTTCGGCGTAAAAACCGCAAGTAAAAGAGGGAGGGAACCCCGATGCTCTAGTTCCCGAGATACGGAACAGGGCATTACCTCCCCCTGCTGCTCCGCGAATGGACAAAGAAGTGAAGGTGGGTCGTGAGCTGTTATGTTTTTTTATTTACGAACCGCTGCCCTTCGTTGAGCAGAAGGTGAAAACACATTTTGTTTGCGGTTTTAAATATTATTCGAGACGTGTGAGTGAGTGCAAAAGGATGCGTGGGCTGTCTCGAAGATCAAGGAAGAAAGGCTTGCCATTGGCTGGTACAATCGACAGATTCTTTGCTGACGAACGTAGATTTGTGTCACAACATCCTAGATTTAGATCGTGTGTTCTAACGCTATTCATGTTCAGTATAGTTCGTACAATTTGACCGAATATCGAGCCCACTAAGTACATTATATACGCACGTGTATGTGTGTGTGTGTGCGTCTCTCTCTCTCTCTCTCTCTCTCTCTCTCTCTCTCTGTGAGTGTGAGTGTGTGTGTGTGTGTGTGTGTGTATGTGTGTGTGTGTGTGTTCCTGTGTGTCTTAGATAGATATATAGATAGATAGATAGATAGATAGATAATAAAACATAACGATAAAAAGAGAACATTATTCTATTGTCGTGAACTCACCCCTATCGGCTGCCTCACGTAAATCACATTCTCTCTGGTTGGCAACGGTTGTTTGACGTAGGTCACCTCCGGTTCCTTGACATAAGTCATTTCAGGCTGTTTGACGTAAGTCATTTCAGGCTGCTTGAGGTACGCAATCTGCGACTGCTTCACATAAGTGACATCCGGGTCTTTGACGTAGGTCATCTGCGGTTGCTTGACGTAAGTCACCTCCGAGTTCTTCACGTACGTAACATTGTCCGGCTGCATATTGATGCGGTTGTTGCTGACGCTGAGGTGGTGGTGGTGGGGGTGTCCGTTCACGTCCAGGTACCCGTGGTCGTTGCTGTTGTAGGGGATGAGGTTGGGGTGGCGCAGGTACTGCGAGCTGTACGCCATCATGCCAAGATGCTCCGTGGTCTCCTCGGTGATCTCCTTAGCGTTCAACAAGGGGTCCACGCCCAGCTGCTTGCCGGCCTTCAAAGCTGTAGTGGAGAAATAGAACGGGAGATACAGATTGATAATTAATTGTTAAAGCCTTGTGGTGCGTGTTTAGTGTTATTGAAGCTGCAGAAGGGGAGATACAGGGTAATTGTTAAAGCTTTATGGTACGTCGGTGGCTCAGTGGTTAAGCTCTCGGACTCGCAACCTTTAGGTCGTGGGTTCGAATCCCGTCAGGGGCCCGACGTTGTGTCCTTGGGAAAGGC